AAATGATTTTATCTGTAATTTTTAGTTAAGTTTCCCAAAGGATAAAAAAAAAATGATAAATTCAAATCCATATTTAAAAAAAAAAAAAAAAATTGTTTTATATTTGGAATTGTCTTCATTGCCGCAAACCTAATTTAGAAAACTAATTATTATTGTCATTGTAAACAAATTATTTATTTATTTTTTTTTAACCTTACTTGTAATATTTAAACGAAATAAGAGTTTTTGTTTTTAAATCAAAGTTTTTAAAGAAAAATTTAATCTTTTACGAGATTCATAAAGTAAAAATTTATTAAAAATTAATATCTTGATTGGTTATTAATTTTACGAGAAAGCCGTTACGTCCGCGCATTTTGAGCAAGTAAGATAAGAATGTTTTCAAATGGAATTTTTTTAATTTTTCACAACGATTCAACAACGTTTAATAATAATGCATTGAGTTGAAACGTTGTGAAATTATGAAGCAGACGACTTTTACGTCTTGCATCGAGAGTAGTTAAGCCGGGTTATTCATTTGTTTAAGTTTACAAATTTTTCGTTATTTTCTATTTTATCGACTAATGTTTGAAAAGATAGAAAGGAAAAAGTAATTTAATTAGATTTAAATATGATTATCTACAAAAAATAACGTAAATTTTCTTTCATGAGATGTAACTTTTTTTTATTAGAGTTTAAAAGACAGCGATGTTGACTAATTTGTCATCGATCGAACGGCTTTGCCTTGTGTTTCTCTTTGTTTTATATTAAAGAGAAATTATTTATTATATAAAATTGTTTAATCTGTAGTAAGTATTTATTTCATGTATTTTCGAGTTCGAGTGACCTTTTAACGAACTTAATACGACAATTAAAGTATGTTTTTATTCATGATATTATATAAAAATAGTTGATCCATAATGGGTTATTCCCATATCGTATTTATGTAAAATCCTGATGATACAAGTTTAAAATTTTTTTTAAAAAAATTCTTCACTGCAACTTAATATTGAACTGCAAAATAATTTAAAAATTCATTTATCAATTTCATTATCATTAAAATTTATTTAAATACTTATACCACACTGTTATATATGTTTTTTTAATTTTATCCTCTCTCATTAGTGATTCATTGGTAACCAGATTTTGTTGTTAATTCATTAAATTATATTAAAATTGAACCGAATTTATCACTTTAAACGAATTGCAGTGTAATCTGAAAACATTCGAATGAGAATATTGTTTTTAATAGAACATGCACTCATTATAAAAATAGTATCAGTTTTAAATTAAAAACAAGTTTTTGATTGAATTATAATATTATTTACTGTAACTCATCATTTCAAATGCTAATATACATATGTAAATGGTTTTAGTGATATTAATTTTATGGTTATTTATTAATGTCATATAAAATAAATTTTTTCTTGTTTACTTTTAAAAGTTTCAAAGGTGAACTTTCCATTATATTATCATTAATAGAGTAAAATTAAAAAATTGAAAGCATTCGTTTTCAAGGGATGAGAAAATTTTTTAT